CTGAAAATATTCCAACACCGGGAGGAATTAGACAAGGCGACAGTTTAAGCCCCTTCTTGTTTAATCTTCTCATGGGCAAAATTATCAACAAAGTAACATCTCTTAATCTCGGATATAGAATGGGCAACAAAAGAATTGGTATGGTGTGTTACGCAGACGATGCAGCAATTATTGCCGAATCAGAAGATGATCTCCAAAGGCAGCTCTTTCAGTTCTTTCAAACAAGCCGTCTACTAAATATGAACATCTCTACCAACAAAACTAAATGTATGACAATAGCAAAAGATCCGCTCAGATGTAAGTTAGTAGTTGAAGACAACCCCATAGAACAGGTGATGCAATTCAGATATCTGGGCATAGATATATCAAGCACCCACGACCCAGTAAAGGACCTGAGGAGTCAGATCAACAAAGCATCTGCACTGTCAGGATGTCTGCGGAAGATAGTCTGGTCAGATCCATATATGCGCACAGATAGTAAAATTAGAATCTATAAAACTTGCATACGACCGATCATGACATATGGCATAGAAGTGCGCGAAGATACCAACAAAACGAAACAGATACTAAGGGTTGCCGAAATGAAAACCCTAAGAACAACAATGGGGAAAACAAGAAGAGACAGAGTGAGAAATACAAACATTAGAGAGCAGTGCAAAATTCAAGATATTGTAAGATGGGGAAGGCAGCGCAAGAGGGTGTGGTACAACCATGTAAGACGAATGGATGAGAATAGACTCCCAAAAATTGCCCTAGAAAACAATCCGCCCGGTTCAAGACCCCCCGGAAGACCACCTAAAAGATGGAGGGATAGTTGGCAATCTACCTCTCAAGAAATTAACCAGAGGCAGCTTCAGAATTAAATAGATCGAAAGATCTATAAAAAGTAGAAGAAGAAGAAGAAGTTTATTAAAAATTGCACATGGACGCCATTTTTATACGACTATCACTTAAAAGCTCTGTTGTGTCACTCTATCCTAAATTGTTGTGCAATGTCGCACCCTTTCAAAATGGCGACCACATTTTGATAACATTGGTTTGTTTATTTATTAATATCTATAAAAATTTTACCTAGATTGTTGTGCAATGTCGCACCCTTTCAAAATGGCGACCACATTTTGATAGCATTGGTTTGTTTATTTATTAATATCTATAAAAATTTTAATGTACTCAACAATAAATGATTGTTCATACGTGGCATGTGATAAATCATTTAAAATCGTTTGTGTTACTTAGTGTATTCTTAGATTTTTGTGTGATTCTATATTCTATTAATCTATAGTCATTACAGTGTTTGGGATTGTTGGTTTTTGGTAGGGGAACAAAGGTCGATAATATCCATTCTGTAGGTATCTCATCAGATTTGTATATATTGTTAAGGATGATATTTATTGCACTTAAGTTGTCTTCATCTATAAGTTTAATCAGCTCGACGAGAACTTTATCTGGCCCACGGACTCTGTTTATATTATGTTGGACTTCAGGTATGGTATAGTTCAGTTACATAAAAGCTGAGTAATTTAAGTTTTGTAGTTTCAAAAAAAGTTGGGGGGACATTTTTACTAAACTACATTAACTGTACTACTACTGTCTTACTTTATTTACACCCTTGCCTTTTTGAGTGTGATTTGTGATTTTCACATGTTTTGTGACTACCATTTAGCGATTTGTCCCGAGTGATTGTACTATTGTATGTTCTGTCGCTCTACGATGTGTCATTCCATTTGTTTTCATATTATCAGCCATTTATTTATCTTATATAGATAAAAGCATAAGTAAGTTTTGTAAGTTTCGGTTCTCATTTCAACTGGTTATGTAAAGTCTAGACGTAGAACACTTGTAACGTGTATAGTTTTAGGCAGTCTTAGCATTTTGTCTAAGGTAGATATTCTTCTACATTTAAATGCCCTTGACATTGTTCTGTTATGACTTAACGCTAGATTTCACTTTTAGACGAAAGTGAGTAGGTATGTATTCTTATTTTGAGAAAGTGTCAATTCTGTATCATAAGGCCTGCCATAGTGAATAAATATTTCAGCATAACACGAACAATATGCTCAAATGAGTGTGCGTCTGTTTATGATTCAAACATGAAATACCTAATTAGCTATCTGATGTTTGAGAATTAGAAAATGGGTAAACTAAATTATGAGGATAAATATATAGGATATTGGCATATAATATCTATCTCAGTGATTCCACATTTCCATTTCTAAAAAATAAAAAAACTGTATCAAATACCACATTGTCCCATATTGCAACCATACATCCAGGTTTCTTGATCTAAATTTTGGAATATACATATTGTACATAAATATATACACAGTGAGAAATGTAAACTTTAATATATTGGCGCAATATTCAAATTTATGTACACGATCAATCTTAATCTCAGCTTCAACCCATTATTAAAAAACTGTACAAATACTCTCTTTGACTGTAACCCTTTAGTAGTCGCACGAAACACGATTTAAAAACCGGAAGGACATTTGATTTTTTTGTTGGTGACACAGTTATTGAAAAAATACGATATTACAAACATATGGAAACTAGCATAACTGATAAGTGCCATCAGGTTAAGAAAGCAAGAAATAAAATGGAGATCGCGCGTTTAGTACTTAATAGGTTTTAAAATTAAATTAATATATTTTCTATTTCTAATTAAAAGTTAATATTAAACTTAATATTTGTTAAAATGTAATATTTCATTTAAAATATGACTGTATCTTGCAAATTAATGATTTTACAAACAAATACAGACAAAAAGTTTGGCTGAGGGCAAAGGTTTTTGAGACACCCTGTAAACATCTAAAATAATCGAGAAAAAAATATTTTCGCTACCTCTGTTTTATTAGTCATGGCATGCTAACACATAATATAAATTTTCACAAAAAAAGTTTTAAACCATTTTAGAGCAAGATTAAAAAATTCAGAATAGTAAGGTAAAAGTTAAAATGGATGTCAAACATCTGAATGTGATAGCAATCTACTCACCAGAGAACAACAGAGATACCACCACAATGGAAAACTTCTACGAACACCTTGAGACTGTAATAAACGAAACCCCAAATGATGAATATATAATCATTATGGGTGATTTTAACCAGAGTGTTGGCAATGCTATATTTCCAGGAATAAAACAGCGATAAATTGAAAATGTCAGAAATGAAAACGGAGTCCCCTGACGGACCTCTGCAGCATAAACGAAATACGTATTAATAATATATTTTTCCCTCACAAAGAACAATACAAATACACTTTTGAACATAGTAGAGGACAAAGATCTACGATAAACTATATTGTGTCGAAACATCAGCAGAAATATACAGCGATCATAAATTGGTATTGTGCAAAATCCGAATGAAAACACATATATGTGATAACAAAACACTAGAATACACCACAAAGATAAAAGCTTACATGATGACTCCACAAGATATCTATTAAAAAAATAACCGAAAAAAAGCAGACACACATCTATCACAGAAAGTGATGCAGTCGAAGAAAGCTGGGCAAAAATTAAGTCTAATATCTTAGCCTCGGCTAAGGAAGTTCTTGGTGAAAGAAATATAAATAAAAATAAAGCGTTAAAATAAGGCGAAGAACTATATAGTTTTGTACAGAAGTGAGGGAAAAATGTAAAGAAAAGAAAAAAGCTTACCTGAAATACATGTCAACCAAAAAAGCACAAGAGCCATATCATAATTACAAGACAATTAGAAACGAAACACATGCACTTGTAAGAAAAATAAAAGATGATCACTGGGAACGCTTTTCGAAAAAAATGGAAAATGATTTTTACGGTCTGCAAAAGGAAATATGGCACTTCATAAGAAGTCAAAGAACGAAGGTAAAGGAACTAATAGAACTAAAAGGATGACGTGGATGGACTACCTAAAAAAGCTCTATGCAGAGGAAGAACAAACGGCGCTAGAACCGCAAACACCAGAAATTACCACAAACAAACAACTTAATATAAACGTACAGGAAATTCGGAAAATATTTGGAAACCTGAACAACAGAAAAGCAGCAGGTAAAGACGGGATACCAAACGAATTACTGAAATATTGTAGAGCAGCAATGACAGAACAATTAACAACATTAATTAATAAAATTATAAACACAATAAAATACCGGAAGAATGGAGAACGAGCGAACTAATTCTACTATTCAAAAAAGGAGATAAAAAACAGCCAGAAAACTACAGAGGTATAAATTTGTTAAATAATATGCTTTTGACGTGTCGTCAAAATAGCAAGAGATAAGTCACCAATCGGCAGAAGAAGTATCGGACGACCGCGCAAAAGATGGAGTGGCCGCGCAACCTTCCATAGAGGTATTAATTCGCCAATGAACAAGCACAATTGCATATAAAGAGAAAGAAGAAGAAGATTAAAAATTCGGTTGTACTTTTTAATACCCCGTCCCTTATTCTGGATGCACTTTTGCAACACTACCAACTTTTTCTAAAGTTTCTAGCGGCTACTCAAGGGTTGATACATCCAAGTAAAATATGTATTTAAATTTTAAACAGTTCTTAAAAAGTAGCTTAAGCAATATACTTACAAATGGTACACATTTAGAAGCAATAATAACAAGTACACAAACAGTTTATAAGACATAAGTACAACAAATTTGCAAAATATTGCATAGTTTAGTTCAGATCATAGCTGCCTTTAATACAGCTATACGGCATCTAAAAAGATTGTAACAAAATTTATTTATATACGTACATATAAAAGCAAATAGCCTGATCATTTTTAAATCACCCTATTAACTCAAAACTAAAATAAAATATGCAATATTATTGCCCCTAGTGAAGAAAGCATCCCTATATTTTACAAAGGGTGAAAGTGAAGAGTAATAAAACAAGTGAAACATTTTTGCAGTTTTCTGTATGATCAACAACGTGATTTAGTGAACGAAAAACAATAACAAATGTGCACAAAAACACCTCTTTGTTGTAGTGAAATGGTGATGAACCATTATTTTTGTCTTACCAAATCTAGGCCTTCCTTCTCCCATAGGACTCGTTGGACCTATACGATTACATGTTCATTTAAAATAAATTCAATAAAATTGTTAAACTTAGCTAGTTACTCCTTATAAACGACCAGTGGCTGTTTAACTAAAGTGTTCAGACCATATAAATTTGACATTGATGTTTCTGACATTTGAAATACATTTTGATTTGTTTATTAGATGCACGTTTTTATATTAATTTTACAAAGAAATTCAACATATAATTTGATGTTTGATCAAGATGATTACACCTAGGTTCCAGCTAACTCAAGATGATAAATCCCTGACAATACAAATCAGAGCTCCTTATTGTTCTCTACGAGAATTACAAGTGGAAGTAGAGGACAATGTATTTTTATTTTTCTGCAAACCTTACTTCTTAAGATTATTCCTGCCAGGTAAATTATTGGATAATGACAATTACAAAAGCTCTTTCGAATGTGATTCAGGCGAATTTTCGTTTACATACGACAAGGCTGTGCAAGGAGAACATTTTGAAGACCTTGACTTTATAACAAAGTTTCTTGTGAGTAAAGTAGAAACTAGTTACGAAAATAACAAAAAGATTCTGGTTATTGATAACGAAGCAAAATTAGATAACGATGAAGAATTATCCGAAGGATTTGGTTTTGCTTTGATGGGTCATAAAAATTTTGTAGTGGTTAGTTCTGAATTCAGCGATGTTTTTGAAATAGATCCTAACGAAGTCAATTTGAAAGACAGGCGGAAGCTGAGGTTACAATTTGAACAAGGGAAATTTGATATGGGTCATTACTTAGCAGATTTTATAGAAAACGAAGAAATTATAAGCCTAATAGAATTGAAGTCTCCTTGGAATGCACTAGAAGACAGTGATATTACTTTTGATACTAAAGAATTGGATTTTTTAAAAGATTTACCAAACATAGAATATAAATTAACTGATCTGCAAATAAAGTATGTTTACCATGGACTGATAGATATTTTATATGCATTTTGTTATGATGGAAGAACTACAGATTATGATATTAACTCAGAGTCTGGTTGGACAATAGTCAAACTAGCTGCAACTTTATGTTGGTTAGATGTTTTTGATCAACCCAAAGAAGCTCTAATATCAGCATTTAGGAGAAGTATTACCTATCCATTGTTTAGAAACTTCGATCTTAGTTTAAAAGTATTAGAAGACCTAAAAAAGCTGCTAACATTAAATGAAAAGTATATTATTAAATGTCTTATTCAAATTTATTATATCTTCCTTGGAGGCGACTGTTGTAGGTATATCTTAAATAATTTGTTTATAAAAGACTATATTATTTACATTATGAATTGGGATAGAAATAAGTGGAGAGATTTTGTTAAAGAAATAAACTCCATGGAAATAAAAAAAGAAGATTTGGGTCTGAATCTAAGTGAAATAGAGCAAGGCTTTACATTAGAAAGTAAATTGGAAAATCTGAAGATTTCTGTCGCAAGTGATGATAGTGACGATTCTTCAGATTCAAGTGATGATGACAGTAGTAGTGAGACGGAAACAGAATCAAGTAGTGAGGATAACAGTGACATAGAAAAATCTAGAGTGATAATTGAAACTGTTTTATAAATGATTCTGTATTTAGGATTAAAATTATATTTTTTTAAATGTATTTTAAGTTAAAATTGTTACTATGTAACTTGTTTACTCAAACAAGTGCTGTAGTTAATTATTATTTTAATTAATAAAACAATAACTACAAAAGAAAAATAAATTATTAGTTTATTTTCAAAGTTACTTTTGACAAAGTTAAATATTTTGTATAGTTCCTTTTCTTGTCATAAGTATTGTAATACTAATTGTAGAATATTGTTAGTGTTTATTAAACTAGATATATGTTTGTTGTAAAATATTCTGGTAAAAGTACCTTCTTCACTTGCCAAGGTAAATTTTGTGAGAAAAATACAAAATAGTGAAAATGTCACTAAAATATTGTTTATAGACAGCAATGGAGTTAGTTTTCTAAAAAGCAGTTTCTCCAATCACCATATTGAATTTCTGACACTTAGTCATTGTAATGAAATCATTCCTGTTCCGAGGCATAATCCTGTTTCTATGAGCTGTATGGTTTTAAAGTCTATCAGTAGGGTGCTAACCTGGCTGTAGACCCCACTCCTCCTTTATCCGGACTTGGGACCAGGCTCATATTCCATATATGCTATCAAAAGTCCATTCTGCACAGGAGAACATTCTGAAATAAACTGCTGCAGTGAAAGTGTTAATACATTTTAAAATGTGTGACACACTTTTAGTCTACTTTTGTCTGGTTTGTTAGTTTCTCTTATAGAATCTGATTCACCTTCATAAAATGTAATACAAGAAAACATCAAGAGAATCTAGTCTGTAAAAAAATGCTCTGGATGAGAAACTTAAGAGAGTGGTTTGGCTGCACCACAAATGGACTGTTTAGAACAGCTACAAATAAAATTAGAATAGCCTTGATTATATCTAATCTCTGGTAGGAGAGGAATATAAAGAGCACAGTTATAGTTTGAATTATTGAATTTCTTTGTTTGATTTATTTCAATTTTACTTTGACTAAGAATTGATCTCAATTTGCATGTGCCTGTGTTTCATAGATTGTGAATTCTATAATGGTGTTAATAATAATATAAAATGATGTCTGCTAATTCAACAGCATCAGTACAAGTTTAAACTTTGGAACTAAATATCCAAATGCATATATCTAATATAGTACATATTGAAAGATTGAAGCTTTCATTAAATATTCCGTAGATAATAAGTGAAATATGAAGATAAAATTGAAAAAATATCCAAATTCAAAATGTTTATTGGATGTTTAGAAGCTCTTCATTAAACACAAGATTCAATACGCTTAAGTTTGATCTTTGGTATATATAACAAGGATGATACGGATTTAAGATATATAAAAATGGATGCTGAACAGATTCGTACAAAACTTATAAATGGTGTAAAGTTAGTGGCAATATAAATGGTATAGACAATACAACATCCAACTCAGATCAAACATCTTTTAGGCAGAATAAAATTATAATTTAGATTTTAACAAAAAAATATACACGCAAAATCAAAGCTTCATGGCATGTTTTAAAACAAAAATCCTAAATTTTAACAGAAATACAAAACATATTAAGCAAGACAACTTACCCACTGTGGTATATCTAACGAAAGTCTCCTTATTTTCGATCATGGCATCTACAGCTAATTTCTCGCAATATTGGGCAGTAATTATGGCGATAGTGGGTTGTTTCGAACTGGCGACAGTTGGCATCTGTTTGACGATAGTAACTTGATGGGTATCATGAGATTGTTGACGAGTGAATGCACCATGTTCCATAGCTTTGACCACTTGACGGGATTGGAGTTGGGATATACACTGTGCAACTTCCTCTTCATCCCAGCCGTTGTCTCTATCAGATTTTACAATAGGATCAGTATGATTGGAAGAAAGTTTAATAAAAGTTTAACATATGCATTAAATTTTAAACATAACAATAAGCAGGATAACTGTTGACTTTATCAAGATAAGCAAGTTGATATAGTCAGCAAACGGGATCAGTAGCTGATAAAAAAAAGGGAATAAGAAAATGTGTTAGGACTGAAACAGTAGAAGTTGCAATTATAGGTCATATTAATTTGGAACCTACGTCAAGTACTAAAAAAATAGATATAGAATCTGAAACAGTACACTTAATACAGAAAATAAATCAAGATGATCCAGAACGGAAACTATGTTTGTTTTTTATAAATGTTCTTTTTTTCTAAATAGTACTGTTGGGCTGTCAGGCTATTGGGATGATGAAAATTCCATAGTTTTCCACAAAACACATACATAGCCATTGTAATTAAATGTATGGGCATGGGCAGGAATTTATGAGGATCATATCTAGAATTATTAGGGGACACATTTGATCCTCCCATTTTGACAGATAATCAAAAACGGATACAGGTTGTCAGGCTATTGGGATGATGAAAATCCCATAGTTTTCCACAAAACACATACATAGCCATTGTAATTAAATGTATGGGCATGGGCAGGAATTTATGAGGATCATATTAGTGGACCATGTTTGTTTACAACAAAATTTAAACGGAGAAGCATATCTATAATTATTAGGGGACACATTTGATCCTCCCATTTTGACAGATAATCAAAAACGGATACAGGTACTGAGATGATTTTTTTTCCCAACAAGAACCTCCCCATAAAATAAACATAAAGCGATACCTTAATGAAAGGAAATGGATTGGACAAAGAGATTTTATTGAATGGCCAGTATGATTGCTCGATTAACTCCCTAGACGTCTTTCTACGGGGTTGTTTAAAAAGCAAGATTTATAATACCATTTCAGCTTCATTGGAAGAACGAATGTAGTCTAGCAACCTCTGAAACGCCTCAAAATGTTTGTCGTAATTTCGAACAGCGACTTTATAATTGTATGGACGTTGGTGAATATAATTTTGATCGTTTCATTAAATAATTATAACTGATGTCAGTTGATAAATTTCAGGGTTGACTTTTATGAGTGGCCAACCCTGTATATCCTTACATTAGATAAATAATACATGGAAAGATGTAGAAATAAGTTACACATTTTATTTTATAATAATTGAAATATCTAATCAAAAATATACAAAACACTACTTACCTAGCAATATCTTTAATTGTAATCGGATTAGGATATGACGATTCTATTATTTCTAAAACTTTTTCTACGGTTAGTACCACAATATGACCTAAGGAATTCTCTTCCGCTGAAACTAAAATGAAAAATTGTAAAACAAGTATACAATGCAATACAAGTATGCAGTATTGATACGATTATAAAGACAACAAACTGGGATTAAATTAAATTGATAAGTATCAAGTAAATGTGCCAAATAAAAACGGCGAAACATGGTTGACTCTTGACTGTTTATTTAATATTACTGAAAAAATAAATTATTTAAATATGTTTCTAACTAAAAACTGTAGTCTCGCTTCATCTTATTGAGCCTTCTTATTCATGTGCCATATTCTCTAAAAAAAAGTGAAGCTATGGCATCTCACAGATATTGTAATTTTCTATTTTAGTAGTATTTAAAACCTATTTTCCAATTTTTCTCAACAACTCGACACTCGTGACTTCTCCACACAACTTATGCGTAATATTTTTTTGTAGGTCCATAATTCGAAGGTTTCCAATCTGTCTGAAACGTCTTTCTTTAATGTCCAAGTATCCCACCCATAAAATAATACAGAGAAGACATAGCATCTCATAAGTTCTAGCATCTTTAAAGCATTTCTTGCTTGTCATATTTAAGTTTTAATCTTTTCTGTATACTCATTATTTTCATTAATTGTTGTTCCCAGATATTTATCTTTTTCAAATTTTTTATTTGTTCCCTATGTTTGTTAGGATTTCTTGGCGCTGTTGGGCTTTTGCAATCACTGCCCACATCTATCTATATAAAAGGCTAGGATGACATGTCACTCAGTTTGTCCGCAACGATAACTCGTAGCGCCACCTAGGAAAGAAATCTGAACTACCAACTGATAGTTCAATCATATTTTGTTCTTAAAACGATACGGTTGATTTATTGCTAATTTATTCTACAAATTGATGATTTAAATATCCTTACTCGCAAATTTTACTTATTCATCAGTAATTAATTTTATCGCAAAATTGCTAAAAATATAAGTTACTGTAATTTATGGCAAGGTAAGATTTATTAAGCAAAATAATTGAAAGCTTTATGTTACAAGTAAAGAGGCTATACCGTTTCTGCCTCATTTCTCATACAAAATACCATAAGAAAACGCTTTTATTCTGTATCAATAAAACACTGAAAACTTTGTTTTCAAACTTCCACAAAATTTATTTTAAATCTTATCACTACAACTGTTTCGGCTGATTGCCTTTCTCAAGTGATCTATTTTTGGCTTGGGTTTACAAATTTATAGTCTCTAATGAAATAGGTTGAGGAGGAGAGAACTGTTTGTCTCAAGTTGGTCATTCAGAATTATATCTGTGTTTTTTAATTTTTTGATTTCCATAGATTCTAACAAAGATAGCTTAAGACCTTTATTTTGAATGTGAAGAATTTTAAATTTGTCATTAAAAGAATGATTATGATCTAGAAGGTGAAGTGCGTATGTCGAATCTGTTTTTCTATTCTTGAAAGCCCTTTTATGTTCTGCTATTCGTTTATCAAAGTTTCTACCAGTTTGACCGATGTCAGTTTTTGGGCAGTCGCCACATTGAAGTTTGTATACACCACTATTTAAGTGTTTTTTATTTTGGCTCTTGTTATTTTTAATATATTTGCCTAGGTTGTTATTTGTTCGGAAAGCTGGTGTTATTCCTTTCTTTTTTATGTGTTTGGCAATTTTTGTTGTTATTTTGCCTGTATATGTAATCGAGCAGAAGGTACTGGGTTTACACTTGCAACTACTATATTACGAAGCCTTGTGAGGTTATATTTTGATCATTTTCATAATAGTTTTGATTTTTACTTGATACTTTACCAATAATACTTATTAAAAGCAACCATGCTATTTTGTTAGATCAATTACATCTAAATATAACCCAAAAACTTTAAATATTAGTGAAAATATTAAATAAAAATTAAGAAAATTCAGAAATAAATCACACCAATGTTTACCCATAAACGAGGAATCTAGATCAATTCTAATATACCCAGGAGCTATAAGAAAGTTATACAATATAAATATGTACATATTTTTAGAGATGTATGGTACTTACGTGGTCGTGAAGGAACTTCTACTGTTTCTTCTAGTTGCCTTAATTCTACTTCTAATTTGACTATACTTTTGAAACTATGTTGCATCAATTTCATTATTTTCTTTATAAAACCAACGTAGTCTAAAATAGAATATCTTTAAAATATTACTGTTGAAAGTAAATTTTTTTTTAAATATAACAGAAAGATGATACTACACAATCTTCCAAGCACGGAGTTTTTAAAAGTTTTGGGCGAGTTGGCAAAAAACTATTTTAGCCATTATTTCCTAAATTTATATAGGAAAAGGCAAATCTAAAAATAGGAACTTGCAAATTCAGCATTGCAAAAATGAACCATTGTATTCCGATCTTTCCCGAAGCTTTTTCCACACTTGTGATTGTCTATAAATCCAACACTTTCATCAGTTTTTTCTAGTTTTCATCATGATTTACAATGGAATTACTATTACCTATTTTGTTACAATTGACAGCTCATTACAAATGCATCTTCACAAATCTTCAAATAGCAGGTAAGGGTACTCAAAGTTAAATCAATAAAAAATTACTATTGTTGAAATGTACTTATAGATATTATTTTTCACCACCAGATCACTATATTCACATATAGATTACAATACAAACCCTCGATAATATAAGTATGAAAATAAAGGACCAGTATCAGTATATGTCATATACCAGCATATGAAGGGTCCAGGGGAAAAACGGTATTAGCCCATTTTTTCAACAAACTGAGGTCACCATTGATTTTTGTGGTACTGTTAGGTTACTTTCAAGTAGTGATACCGTTAATCTGTAAAAACAGCGTAGATCCTTAAAATAACCATTATAGGATTTACTATACGGGGGAAGAATGGCATGAGTCCGTGCGCGTGCATGGAAAAAGGGCATCAGTCCCTGTTATCAGTTGGTTTACCACTCATAGCCACGTGCATCTGTTGTATATTGATACGTTGTGCATATTTCTGTAGTGTAAAAGTTTTTAAAAACACAAGAATTATCATGGATAGTGACTATTCAGTGTCCAGTGAAAGTGAAACTGGTCTATCAAGCAGGGAAACGAAGAAACGTAAAAGAACTGGCAGAGGGCGAGATGTAATGAAAATTTTACGTGCCACAACGCATGAATTGGTGTTGTTCCTGAACCTGAACGGTATAGAATAATTCGTGAGTTTAATAAATTAGGTAACACTGATGCACAAAACTCTTACATTAGTGGTCTAATCAGTGTTCCTCCTGTCAACCGCAGGCTACCTAGAAAAAACGCTAAAGAATCTAGACTTAATAGAGCTTCCTTTAGTTATCGTGTTCGAATAGTTGAGGATGGAATTACTCGTGATGTTTCAGTATGTATCAAAGCTTTTTTATCTTTCCATGGAATCACGGGACGTCGAGTTAGATACGTTAGAGACTCCCTGCTTTTTAATGGGAAAGCACCTATCGATATGCGAGGAAAACATAATTCGTGACCTCACAAACTTTCTGAAGTCACAAAGCAAAAGGTGATGGAGTTCATTAAAAGTCTAAAAGGACGCAAATCTCATTATTCTTTAGCAGACTCGAATAAAATTTACTTACCTGAAAACTTAAACCTAGTGAAATTACACAAAATGTATTCCGAAACAAACGTTAAAAATAAAAACGAAAACGAAATATCCTACGAATCCTTCCGTGACATTTTTGAGTCAAATTTTAATATATCGTTCGGATATCCACGAAAAGACACTTGTAGCACGTGTGACTCCTTTAAAGCCGACATATCATCGATAACTACATTATTAAATTCTACTTCGGACCTTGAAACTAGGAAAACAGCAAGTAATGATATAGAAAAAAAGACACGTGAAAGGAATCTACATCTAAAAAAAAAGTGAGCGATTTTATAGTCTAAAAAGAAGTTACCGCAAACGTGCTTGAAAGTCCTCGACTATGGAAGGTATAAGCATGGATTATCAAAAAAACTTACCATGTCCAAATATTACAACCAACGACGTATACTATAAACGTCAACTAAACTTTATCAGTTTCAACATTCATATTCTGTCGGATTCAAAATCTGTATTTTATACCTACGATGAATCTGTTGCTAAGAAAGGAGCTGACGATGTTTGTTCCATGCTGAATCACTTTTTATAATATTCTGCCCATGGAAGTAAAAGAACTAGCTATTTTTTGTGATTCCTGTGCAGGACAAAATAAAAATTTAACTATCATTCGATTCTTGCATTACTTAGTTACAAAAAAAAAATCGTTTTTATATTGTGAAAGTAATATTCCCTATTAGAGGGCATTCATATCTTGAATGCGATCGAAACATGAGCCTTGTCAATCAGAAAGCATACACTGAGGTACCAGAGGACTGGAGAGACGAATTGCGAAATTGCCGTTTGAAACCTTTTGAAGTGATTGATTGCAGTAAAAATTTTGATTTTCAAAATTGGCTTTCATTTTTATCGCCGCTATATCCAACGAAGTGCCCTTTCCCAACTCGGCTAATCAGAATGCTTAAATTTTGCAGCAAGGATAAACGGTTAATTTTCCATAAATCTACGTATATGGGTTTATATTATAATTCTAAATTCGAAAATAAACCGATTAAGGCGTGCCGCAAAAGGACACAAAATAATCACAATAAAAAAGAAGTAGGAACATTACGAAAACTTTATCAAGGCGCAATTCCTATTAAAAAATCCAAATGGAAAGATCTGCAAGATCTAACTGCATTCCTCGAGAAACCAGAATCCGGGTTGTTTTATCAACAATTAACAGTAGTTGTTGTCGAACAATCTGGAGAAAGCGATGACGAATTTGTGGACGATCCGCCAATAGACGTCTAAAGGCCCGTTTTCACGCTACGTCTTATTGTACGTTTTGTTGGATAGGACAAATCCTATACAATAAAACGTTGCATGTAAACAGCAAAACGTACGTCTTGTTGGAAGAAAACACATAGTGTGTATACACTGGACAAAACGTACGTTTTGTCGTACGTTTTATATGACCAACAAAACGTACAATAAGACGTAGCGTGAAAACGGGCCTTAATATAGAAGAAAAGTGGCACGCATCTGTCCGTATTATATTTTTTTTCTACCTCATTTATTTTTATAATAAGGTTATTTTTAACGTTTTTTAATAAAAAATATAATATTTACCTAAAAATATTATTTTTCATTATTTTTCTTTGTATTTGACTTTATAATAAGTCTATAAATCTTAATTTTCAATTTTCTCGAAATAAATCCAAATGGACTATTGCCGTTCTACCCCTGGACCCTTCATATGTTAAATCAGTGTGGTCTAACCTTTTAGACGTTGCGGGTCGTATTCAATTTGAAATTATTATGAAAGGTCAGAAAACTCGACTCGTTCAAAAAAGTTTATTTTAAAAATAATGTACAAACGAAATATTATTTACAAGTATTTTATTATGTTTTACAATTTACATGTTATGTTTAAAATTTAACATAAAATAAAAAATCAATGGGATATTTGAGGCAAGGGTTTATCCTCTACTAAATTTTGCACATCTATATCTATGCTAGTCGTAGTGAGTCTAATACACGCTTTCAGAGAATCGTTTTCCATGCGATTACGTGTTTTAGATTTATGCTTCAAAGCAGAAAATCTACTTTCACATATATACATACTACCAAACATTGAATATAGTTTCAACGCAAAGTTACGAAGTTTAGGAAAACGATCCCTGGAAACTAACTTCCAAAAGGTACTAATGTCTCATTTTTCTTTGTTTGAAAAACCGATTTGGACTGTAGTTCGCACAGCTTAATTGTTATTCTGCTGATTGGTTCTGGATGTTGACTACCACTGGATTATTAAAAAGCTCAAGATCCGGCTTTAGTGCATCAAATTCCGAAAACCTTTCATCGAATTCTCTTTTTATTTCTGTAAGAACTTTTGCAAACCTCGAGAAATCGACCATGGTTTCTTCTTAATTTATTTCGAAATACACAGGAAAATGTGAGGTCGTTTATTTTCACGCAGTACTCGAAAAGATCGAGTATTTTGCGAAATTTCTCAATTTGACCAACCAACTGTGATAGTGTGTTATTTTTCCCCTGCAGTTGTAAGTTTAATGTGTTCAAGTGAGAGGTAATGTTAGAAATGCCAGTTCATGAAGAAATGTTTTGTTTTTAAGCTTTGTTATAAATACGTCCCTCTTTATAACAATTTCCGTTTCAAATAACAGTAAGAGCTATTTTCTTAAAAAAAAATCTAAGATATTTACCCATACTCAACCAGCGGAATCTGAATGTAGGGGGACGTCCTTAGTTCAGTATTCAGTATTTAATTTCTCCAAGAAAGAGATGAATTTTCGGTGTTGCTGAGCTGTTTACTATCTGCACTACAGTTTTCATAGTATCGTTGATTTTAATTATCTTACCACATGTAGCCTACTGATGGTTAATACAATGAAACAACACAGTTAACACCATTTTCTCGCAAAATTCCAGCCAATCCCGTTATGAGCCCCGTCATTGCTTTTGCTCCGTGGTTACAAACGCAAAAGCACTTTTGAAAACCGCCTATATTTTTCACGGTGTTACTAACTGCTTCAAATATATTTATACCTTTTGGTCCCGTCTTCCACGTGATGCAGTTTTATAAGTTCCTCAGTTACACAAAAATTTTCACTGATGCATCTGACAAAAAATAATAGCTGATTTTTGTCAGTAATATCAACAGATTCATCTAGGGCTAAGGAGTAGCACAAACAATCACGAACTGTGTCGACCATTTTTTAAAATATATGAGTATTCAGTTCATCAACTCTTCTAGATACAGTTTGATGGGAAACTGAAACACATTCAAAATGTTCGGCCATCTTTTCATCTCCAAAGGATCGCGTCATTGTAAGCGCAATTTGAACAGCTGTCGGTTTTGTGAATAGAGATTTTTGTTTATTCAATATGGCTTTACGTTCTTTTACAAGAGTATTGCGAGCTTCACTTTGATATTTGTCGTATTTTGTTTTGTGCTGGGTTTCATAATGCCTACTAATATTGTATTCTTGATACCGCGAGTACTTGACAACAAATTTATAATACACTGAGGTTTGCCTTTTAATTCGATGTAGAAATATTGAATTTCCCATTTTCCTTGGAAAGTACGATTCTCTTCGAATATTTTGCGTTTTTTGGCACTAGTCATTCTGAATTTAACATACAATTATTCGCCACTGTTAATTCAACACGACACGTGCAGCTGACTGAAGTTAACTGCAGGCTCATCGGGAGTGGGTGTTCAAGGTTAACTACTTTCTTAAGATTACGGAAAGTTAGACACAGTTGGAACAGGTAAAAGTTATCACTGGGAATATTTTTGAAATGTGTTTGAGGGGTCCGCAGTTTAACAAGCCTCGGGCCGCATGCGGCCCGCGTGCCTAAGGTTGGACCACACTGTGTTAAATAAAATCAATGTTAAAGCAGATACATCGTATTCTTGTTTATTTAGATATATATGTATAACATTTAACCAATGTAAATAAATTAAAAACTAACTAATTAACATACAAATTATGAACTCTCTCTGAATAAGATTTGTTGTCCGGTCCGATAAAATGATTATAAAAAGGTTCTTCAATATTATTATAAAGAATACATAATCTTTCTCCCCCTTTTTTGATGTGGTATACGGCATTGGTCCAGTTAACTTTCTTTAATTTTTTTTATAGGATCTTTCAATTTAAAATTTTTTATTTTGTCTGGCCATTTTATCATTTACTTGCATATATATATGAACTCTTTTGGATTTAGCTGACAATAACAAGGTGGTAATAACTCTATTCCTTTTCGTTGTGCCATTCAGTCAATAGTGTATTTTTTTAAGTATGATTCATGTTGCATTAAAATTTGAAGCAATATCGGTTTATATATAGATACGTACTGGTATCATACCGTATTGCCTTGGATTGGTGTTAGTCAATAATACCTGCTTTTTTTATGAAACCGTCAATAACTTTCCCACTGATTCCACAATAACTGAGAAAAATAATGCTCAAAAACATCATCATCTTTGGCTCGACAATCGTTTATGAATCCTGGCCTGCTCTAAGATTCGTCGCCATTCCGTTCGGTTTCTTGCCATCTTCTGATCTCTAGTATCCCTAAATCTGTTTCTGGTTCTGCTTTGCGGTCTGTTTCTTCTTCCTGCAGGTGTTCCTGTCGTTAGCTTTTTAGTCCATTCTTTATCTCAAAGGATTGCGAATTTTCTCCCTGTATTATAACGCTGGCTGTTAAGTTAGACATTGTCATTCTTGTTAATCTAAGTTTTTCTGGTATGCCAAACTCACGCAGTGTCGAATGCAGCCTTGAAATCGACGAATCGGTGATGAGTTTCAATGTTAAATTCTAACGTTTTCTAGAGTATCTGTCTTATTGAAGTAATTTTTTTCTGGAGGTTTGCTGAGGTAAATCCGGTCTGGCATTTTCCAAACCGACCAACTGTGTAAACTTTTATCCGTTTGTAGAGAATATTTGCTATTATTTTGCAAGCAGTTGTTAACAGGGTTATACTTCTGTAGTTGTCACACTGGAGCTGATCGCCTTTTTTATGTAACGGGCATATAACGCCTTGAGACCATTTTGTATCTATGTAACCTTTTTTCTTTCCTTCTTAGGGTCCGGTATTCCTGCTTTGCTCTTCTTGTGCATCTAGCTTGATTTGTCTTTAGATTTGCTCTATTTTTGTTATCTGTTGGTTCTTGGCATTCCTCGTCAAACGATTCGTATTATTTAACTGGTTTGGTTTCCCCCAATATTTCCCATATCTTCTCAGTTATTATCTTTCTACATTTTGTCCACAATTCGTCCACATTTCCCCCCGCTTCCAGGCTCTCTATTTCCTCATCAATTTGTCTCATATACTCTCTCGCAACCTTTTCAATGCGCAGATTATCAACTTTAATTATGTCTTGCTATATATGTTTATCCTTCTTTAGCTTTGATATTCTTCCTCTGATTTTTGCCATTATAAGAAAGTGGTCATTATCTATGTTTGGACCTTGGTAGCTTCCGACATCCATGAGGTCGGAAGAATGTCTTGCATCTTGCTTATAAAGAGGAAGAATAATAATAATAATTACTTAATAAGTCAATAAAAAAATTTCAAATAAAAATATGGGGTTTACAAACTATATACATTATATTAAGAGTTTTTTATTTCATGGAGTCTTTTTTAAAAGTATATTTAACTAAACAAATTAGTAGATAACTCAAAAATGTTCAAAATAAAACCCTATTGGTTTCAACTACGGCAATGGTTTATGGCTTTGACGAAAACTCTTACTTACAGTTTGAAGATTTACATTTGTAATGGTCTGTAAATTGCTACTAGAAAACAACTAGAATATAACAAAAAGTTTTTCTATTATGCTTGATATGATACGATGTTGGGTATTATGGGTATTAATAAACACCATCAAATAATCATCAACCATTTCTTATTTGTCGGAGACATAGTTTATATATGAAAAAAGATATATATTCACTTACCTCTAGGGAATTCTTGGGGGCTGACCAATTCTCTGAAAAAATCTTGGGCAACTCCCGCTTGGCCTCCATCGATCTCGTCCTGGCTATCTGTGGTATCTCTGAACCAAAACCTTATCGTTCGAGATTCTTGAGTATGTTTACCTGTTTCTTTATTTACTAGAAATACTCTGAATTCTAGAGAGAGCTGCGCTGGTGGTGAGACTCCATTTTCTAAAAACAAATAAAAAGAGTGTAATTCAGATATCATTCTACACAAACATCGCAATTATAAGTATTAAGTGTAAGTTATTGTTGCGGTTTCGTAACTGTGTCTAAACGTTTGTAATGTATTAGGAGACTTTTTGATAGTTTCGATTATCCCCGTATATTTAAAAGATATTTGCTTGTAAAATGGCACAGTGGTTTAAGGGCTAATCATTCCAAGACGGCCATCTGCGAGATAACAAGGGACTATGCCATATGAGAGGGATGTGTTTTTGAAGTGAAGATCAGCGCAACCGAGACATTTTCGCTGCGGCCATGTAACATAGTCGAGTTTTATCTTTTAAACCATACAGGTGTATGTGTGTTCGTTAAAGGTACCTGCGATACTCCGCATCGGTCCTGTGACCGGGACAAACGTTAAATGCAGTTGTTATTTACTTAATTACAATTACTTAATTAACAAAAAATGTTATTTATTTAATTACCTTTATCGCAGATTTGTATATTTATTAAATTGTAATAATTTCACTATTCTTTTTTCGTATGTATATCACAGCCTTTACGTGATGAGTTTACGAATTGAATTAATTTCATTATTAATTTAATGTGTACTTCATTACCGATTATACTTTGAATTGAGTTTATTAATATTTGTATTTCCGTTCAATATAATTCATATATGTTATGCTTGATTGCATTTTGTGTAACTTTTAAACAAGGTTTGTTCATTTTACCACAGTTTTCTATCGTAAACATGGTTGTCTTTTCGGTGTCGATTCATATTAACTAATACTTAAGTTTATATAAACTCTTGTTTAGTTATAATTGTACATTTGGTTATGTATATTTATGTTTAATTTCAATTCTTTTTAAATAGAGTTTTATATAGTCCGCTGGCTTTAATTTCTTTTTTTATTTTAATATACATACCCAATCTGAAAGGGGGAAACCAGAGAGTTCTAGATTGAACACAATACATTTTCTCCCCCTTCAGGATGACCCTAATTGTTATATTGAGGTCATCGTATGTGCAAAACGCAACAGCTATGAAAAAAATAAGTATAATAAAAATAATTCTAACATGCACAAGAAGAAATGTATTAACAATCTGATGAAACGTTTCTCGATCGGCTGCTAGGTGAAACAATTCCACGACCGTTCGAACTGCCCATTGCACAATGTTACGCAGCCAGGACAGTTGGTTTTTTCCGACTAAGCGTTTTTTTTTTCGATTTTGCTATGAGTTAGCAGAGTAAGCGATATTTAGGTTCTCTCATTATATGGCCGAAATGTTGGACCTTTCTTATTTTGATGATGTTGGCCAATTCTCGCTCTTTATGCATGGTCTCTAGCACACGTTCGTTAGATATGTGTGCTGTCCATGGGATTTTGAGCATGCGACGGTAACACCACCACTCAAACGCTTCTAATTTATTAAATTTTTTTATTTTTTTTTGTTCAGATTTCACATCCATAGAACAAAGCGGACCAGACGTACCACTTCAACACTCTTAGACGTATGGTTAATGACATACTTCTATTGCACAATACAGAACGCCAGTTAAAACAGTTTTTTCGTGCTATTTCTATTCTGGTCGAAATTTCCTCGTTACTTTCAATCCTGCAGTCAATGATTACAGGAGGGAAAGGTAGTGGAACGATTACAAAATAAGCAGATATGCATAAGAATAAAGGAGTAGAAATACCACAACATTAGTAACAAAACGGTCATAAAAAATCTTAGAAAAAAAAACAAAAAAGTGAGAAAAACCTACATACACATAACATATTGGAAAAATAGATGGAAATAGATTAGTAGAGAAACGAATGATTAATTAATAATGTACATAAAAATAACGTAAATACATACATGTGCGGAAATGATGAAGAATCACAAGAAAAAATATAGAAGAAACATAGTTTTAGAGAACCATACCTGATGCTGTTTCTTTATTGATAATAATTCCTGTATGTTCACCTCCAGCTACGTGCATTTTGTCATTCGCTTTATTTATTTTTCGTCTTTCTATTATTAGAGTAGTAGAATTGTGGGTTTTGCATTTTGGAGTCATCACTACCTGTTCCTGATCCATGGTTTCAGTCATTTAAATCTAAAAAAAAAAAGAAATAAACTTAAGTTTTGGAAATATACAGTGAGTTTCTTTAAAAAACCACATTTTTCTAATCAAAATGAAAATTTTTCTTAGAAATGGCATATTTTAGTTCAAGTCCAAGATAATTCAAGGTTTTTAGATATTAATGTTATAAATTGGGTCAACAGAACATATACGCATTTAAGGAAAAAACTAAAGTTGAAAAAACATGGACTTTTTTTTAAGATTTTAATTTATAACAAGCAAAAAATCACTGTTAGCGTTTAAATTTATTTAAATACCCCCAATTATTTTTACTGACCTATAAGTGACATAGAAATCCAAAAACCCATTATAAATTATTTTATTTTAATAAAAGCCTGGTATACAGGTTTATCTTGACAAAAACAAAAAAGCATTCAGTAGGCGGTACTGTAGACTGCAAAGGCTTTATATAAATCAACAATATTGCTGTTTTTAGTAGGTACCCTCTTTACAATGTCATAATATGTATCTTCAAATTTCTATTGAGTAACATTTTATGTAGGTGTATCTTTTTTTCTAACCTTTTTTCATGCTTTATCGCATTCGTTTCATGATTTTTATCTTTTTTATGTTTCGTGTACAAAAAATTATGAAACATTTCAAAAATCAAAATATCAAATTATGGTCAGTTTTGACATTTTGTATAAACGGCCAACCCCTTAGGTACACAAATGGAGGAGCGGCTAAAGACACAGTGGTGCTTTCTACTTTGCGCATGAGTCAAAATATTTACATCGTTGTCGTGTTATAACACATTGGCACAGGACAGAAAACAATTGTTATTTGTTCTGTGGCATTGACATCTCTAGGAAATTTAAAATGTCAGCTTTTTGACTCATTTCATAATATACGTAGACGTATATTGTTTACTTCCTTAATTTCAAAAACTAAAACACGTTTCTCAGTACGAAGTTTATAATTAAAGTAGAAATAATATTGCTGAGATTTTTTTTTCCTTTTTAGGATTGTAATCCAATTAGATATTAATATGAAGGTTTACTAAATATATACTAAATATATTTGCCAATATATTTAGCCTAAAAGATTTATTTTAATAACTCATTGATGAAGTTTTAACTTTCCCTTGAAAGACACACTTCACCTACCATGTGTACAAGTGAAAATTCCAATGAATAAATGAAAATCACTGTAAGGATAGACACAATAATATAAATTTTTGAAAAAAAAGCGTTTTTACATACTACATGTTCATCAGAGGGGTTTGTTAAAATGTATTTTTCGGACAATACAACTGACTTCATTGAGGACAACTCACTGTTTCGTAGCATATTGGGCTTTTTTAGCATTCTTTTTTTCTTTGTTGCTTCCGTATTTCTTTTATTTGCTGATTCTTTATTGTTTATAACTACAGCAGATTGAACGTTATGGTGTAGATTACTTTTTAATAAATTTATGCTGTTCCTGTGAACCTTTAAAGCATGCTCTACTATACTGTCATCAACATGAGTTAGATCAAGTTCAGTAAGCTCTTGGCCATAATATGCCGATTGCGTGCTGACACACTTCAAAGACGGCATCTGAGAATGGGTATTCTGATTGTTATTTATTTTGTGACTACACCTTGCAAAGGATCAACTTAATTTAGCACTTTTTGGAACTAGTGTTACACCAAAAACTAAAAAAAATAGACCTTGTATAAAACATGAAACATAGAAGTATACATTAATAGACACTGAGCAGTCTGTAGAGCTAAGTGACGACACCATCTTTTTTCGTTGTGTCTCTGTCTTACATTAAGTAAGTATAGCAGCGATTTGTTTGAATAATATCACTAAATCAAACAAATACTATATATCATTACCATAAGTTTTCTATTGATTTACCATGGATTTTCTAAGCTAATGTCAAAAATTTTGGCAAAATATGATATTAATGATATTAATGATAAATCATCAAAAACATCTGGAAAATATTTTTCAAAATTTAAACCCAAGGTTAATAAGGATCATCAATGCATAAAAGGGTTGTTGCACACAAATATAGTGTACAGACCAACGGATTAAACACAAGCCAAACATGCTCTAGAAAATAGCCATTCTTTTGGTTTTGAAAATATACAGATTTTGGAAAAAGAACAAAAATACAATAAAAGTTGGGGGGCATATGGGAGATGATTTACATAAAAAAAGATCCAAATTCTATCAATAATAAGACTGACATCAAAGATATTTCTAATATGTATCATAATTTAATATTTTAAGTTGTTTTTAAATGTACCATGGCAGATATTTAAGATACTACCCTGAACCACTCCTGTTTTAATATACCTGCCAGATGTCATCTGTCAATGTCAGATACCAATTTTTTAATCCATGTTAAACTTCTAAAGAGTGTAAACATGAAATATCATTGTATAATGTAATGCTTATAAAATAAAGTGCTTAAAATATAGACGTCTGGCCTTAGATAATTCGCCAACGCACTATATGTGCACGGTACTATAAGAAAAAAGAAGAAGAGTAAATATATGATGATTAGAAACGAATTGACCGAGAGTAGTAAATCGATGTTAAGAACCTCTATTCTATGACGCTACACGTGACGATTCCATTTCGTGGCGCCAGTTCCGTGACGCTCGCCTAAGCATTTTACTGTACAGAAAAAAAGTAATACTACGCCAGGATAGAAGCTTCGCTTCAATAAATGATCAGAATTTCAGCAATATCAGTTTAGGTTTTCGTTTTTGAATAATTTTTTTCTTCTAAATTTGCTAACCACTATGTGTGTGTAGTTTTATTTTATGACTAGAGACATAGTCCATTAGCCTATTATGTTTTGAGTTATTAATTAATTTTTTAAACAATTGTTATAGAGAGAACCCGTAACAATAAAATCTTAACTTCTATTGACTTACATATAAGTACGTACCTACATTAATTTTTTTTTTCATTATATTTTTTTTATTTTTTTTTATTTTTTTTTATTTTATTTTTATTTTATTTTATTTTTTTTTTATTTTTTTTTTTTATTTTTTTTTATTTTTTTTTTAGTTTTTTTTTACTGGAAGGAAAATATATGGTTTTGCTGATTTATTACATACGCCTAGGGGTCTATCAAGGCGATTTGCACAACACAAAATTAGACCACGGGTAGAAAGGTTAACAACTGGGTTAAAACAAAGGACTTATATAACTAACTTTTTATGTTTGAAATATATACACTGTTACAATAATACATTTAGAAATTCAATTTCATTTCACGTACGTGGCGAAAAATTATTTCATAAATATGCAAGTTATTGGTTTTTATTAAATCTGATAAATTAAAAGGTCTTTTAATAAGAATTTTTTCCTTATTGATATAGTCGTATATTTTTATTATAAATTGGTTTATACATCGTGTATTTAATGAGCAATTTAAAATTAAATGCTCAATTGAGCCTTCTTCGCCACATTCGCAAAATGGAGTTTCAACTAAATTAATTCTGAACTTATGTAACGGAGACAGAGCATGGTTAAATCTTATTCTACATAGTATTCTAATCATATCTTTATTAAAATTTGAGTTTTTGAACCACGTTGAGGACTGTATTTTTGGTTTTATATCTTTATAATATAATCCTTTGTTGGACAAATTGTACATTATTTGCCATGAATTTAACATTTTTTTCCTTAGATGAGAATTTAGATCCTCAATTACACATTTATATTCTGATTCTTTAGATGGTTCATTATATTTAGCAATTTTGTCTACTATTTCATTATTTAATATTCCACAATGAGCTTTTATCCAACAAAACATTACATTAGATCCTCTTAATTTCATTGTACCCACCAGGTTTATAATTTCAGATAACACATAATTAAATCCAATATTGTTATATTTAGAAATATTTTCAATTTTTTGTATTGAACTTTTACTATCAGAGAATATAACGTAATTAGATTTTGTTCTTAAGAAATTACTAATGTATTTAAGTGCTTCTAATATTGCTATTAGTTCAGCGGTATATATCGAGGTTTTAATATTTAGATCTACTACTGTACTAAATTTTCGATCTGGATCGTAAAAGGCAGATGTAACCTTTAAATCTGATTTAGATGCATCCGAAAAAATATATGAGTAATTAGGGAACATAGACTTTATGTCAGCTTGGAACATGCTATTTCGGATATATTGTGGGAATTCTGAGTAGTCTCTAAGATATCCTACTTTTATGCTGTCCAAGTGTTCTAATTCTATTTTAAAACAGGGTAATTCTCTTGAAGTCGAAATGTCCTTACTAAGTTGTATCCTTACGTATTTGTACGATTCAATAAAAGGAATTGTAGGCTTTTTTTGCCAATATTCCTTGACTAGATCGTAAATACTGAACTCGAAGCATTTTTGGACTACCGGACTTTTCTTTGCATACATTTTTAATAAAAACTTCTCGGTTAAGTAATCTCTTCTGAAATTTAGTGGAGGTTCATTGCATTCTACGTTTAAATTTGAAATGGGTGTACTCTTAAGTGCGCCTATACTTATTCTTAAGACTTTATTTACTAGCCTATCTAATTTCTTCAGATGAGTCTTCGCTGCTTGACTATAAAAAATTGACCCATAATCTATTATTGAACGAATATAAGCTTTATAAAAGGTAAGCGTAATATTTGGATCAGCTCCCCAACTTGTATGACACACTGATCTTATTGCATTTAATCCTTTTTCTGTTTTTGTTATTAAGCGGTCTATGTGTTCGTTCCACAATAACTTCCTATCTATTACCATACCCAAATAGTTAATGGATGATTGAACCTCAAAATTAACGTTATTGAATACTATGGATTGTGGTAATCTATGTTTTTTGGAGAATATACATGCTTGGGTTTTCTTTGTAGAGATGCTGAGACCTATATTAAAATAATACTCTTCTATTGTCGAAAACATTTCACTCATTATATTGATACCTTGATCGATTTCAACTTTAGGTACATATATACACACATCATCAGCAAACTGTAGAACATTTC